GGGCCATCTTTCCCAGGCCATAGCAGAGAGCTGGATCGGAAGAGGAGCAGCTGGGACAAGAACCTGGTGCCACGGGTAGAGGCTTAGTCCACTTCATCACAGCAGCAGCCCCCATGTTTGGTTTTTGAGAAAGATAGCATGCACGGAGGAAGACTCCCAAAAAATTAAGGAGAGTATCTGCCTGTTTATAGCAAGCAAAGAATATGCACAAAGAACACACATGACAAATGTTGCAGGGAGGCAGGGGTCAGTATCAGCATGAGAACGCAGACAATAAATAAAGTTTCTTAGGTCATTCTGATCCATTCATCCACCTCGGTTGAGAATCTCTATTCTAGAAGCTAAAAGACTTTGATGGCTGTGCAGTGTTAACCTTCCTGATAGGCCAGGAGGCATTACTTTCTTTCTTTTTTTTTTTTTTTTTTTTTTTTTTTGATTTATTTATTTAAAAGTCAGAGTTACACAGAGAGAGAAGGAGAGGTGGGGAGGGGGGGTCTTCCATCCGCTGGTTCACTCCCCAATTGGCCACAACAGCCAGAGCTGCACTAATCAGGAGCCAGAAGCTTCTACCGGGTCTCCCATACAGGTGCAGGGCCCAAGGACTTGGGCCATCTTCCACTGCTTTCCCAGGCCATAGCAGAGAGTTAGATAGGAAGTGGAGCAGCTGGGACTCAAAACAGCACCTATATGGGATGCTGGCACTGCAGGCGGCAGCTTTACCCGCTATGCCACAGTGCTGGCCCCAGCATTACTTTCTGACTCAGCCCTAGGGAGCTGGCTCTTCAGTAGACTGTTCCTCTTCTCTTATATGGGCCTATTTTAGTAATTGTGGTATTTGACAAGTGTGTTTCCTCCACATCTTATGAGTTCATCCTTGCTCTTAGTTTTGTCTAAGGGAAGGAACACATTCCTAAGCCCCTCTCATTCACACAAGAAGAGGTGTATCACTTCTAACTTAAGTTACTCATGGGGGCCAGCATTGCGGCACAGCTGGTCAAGCTGCCATCTGCTACACCTGCATCCCAAATCAACACCAGTTTGAGTCCTGGCTGCTCCACTTCTGGTCCAGCTCCCTGTTAATGGCCTGGGAAAGCCCAAATACTTGGGCTTCTGCCACCCACATGAGAGACCTGGATGGAGTTCTGGCTGCTGGCTTCAGCTGGGGCTGCAGCTGTTTGGGGAATGTACCAGTGGATGGAAAATCCCTCTCCCGCGCGTTCTCCCCCTCTCTCTCTCTCTCTCTCTCTCTCTCTCTGTAACACTAACTTTCATATAAATAAATAGATCTTTTTTTTTTTAAGTTACTTGTGATAGGACAATTGATATATGTCAAGAAAACTAAGGTACTGCCTCTGATAAGCTGTGTGGACCGTCTGATTCCCACCATGATCCCAACTCCTCCTGAACACGTTTGGGGCTGACCAAGCAAAATAACACAGGCTTCGAGAGTGTCACATGAAGCCTTCGCCTCTCAGAGCATAGCCAAAAAAGGGGAATTCAAAAATGGGCTTTCATCCTGCGAGGACCCACAGGTCCACAGCCTCTACCCCTGTGACTGCAGTTTCGGTTTTTAGTTTCTGCTGTCACACTGTCCCCTGCACATCTAGTGACTGGTCATCCAAAGTGTGGCGCAGTGATTCCTCTGAGTGCTCACTCATTAGAACGAGCAGGGTAGGAGGGGAAGCTGAAGTCAGCTGTTGACTTAGGCAGGGATTCGTCCTCACCTTCACGACTTGTGAGTGCATGCAGGCCTGCAAGGTGACAAGATTCACAAGGCAGGTTCTTGTTCTTTTTTTCGCCTGAACTTCTACTGCAGGTCTCCCTGATGGGGCTGGCGCTGTGACGTAGCTGGTAAAGCTGCCACCTGCGATGCCAGCTTACCATATGGGTGTCAGTTCGTGTCCCAGCTGCTCTACTTCCAACCCAGCTTCCTGATAATGGCCTAGGAAAAGCAGTAGAGGATGGCCCAAATACTTGAGCCCCTGCAACCCATGTGGAAGACCCAGATGAAGTTCCTGGCTCCTGGGTTCAGCCTGGTTCAGCCCTGGCTGTTATAGCCATCTGGGGAGCAAGCCAGTGGATGGGAAACCTCTCTGTCTCCCTCCCTCCCTCTCTCTCTTTCAAATAAATCGATAAATCCTTCAAGAAAATTCTCCTTGGATTGAGAACCAAAACTGTTTCCCTACTTATAGAAAGTGCATCAGCTTTGGGAAAGAAGAGGAGTATGGGTGTGGTGGCTCAGTCACGTAGACGGCAGATGTGAAATATGTGCGTGCGTGGGGGGGGGGGTGCCCATGCAAATGCCCAGGGGGGTTGGGCATGTAGGTGTGTGCGGCTGCATGCTCCTGTAGACTTTTTTTTTTTTTTTAAGATTTATTGTATTTATTTGAAAGACAAAGTTACAGAGAAAGGTAGAGACAGAGAGAGAGGCCTTCCATCAGCTGGTTCACTCCCCAATTGGCTGCAATGGCCAGAGCTGTGCCGATCTGAAGCCAGGAGCTTCTTCTGGGCCTCCCACGTGGGTGCAGGGGCCCAAGGACTTGGGCCATCTTCTACTGCTATCCCAGGCTACAGCAGAGAGCTGGACCGGAAGTGGAGCAGCTGGGACTAGAACCTGTGCCCATATGGGATGCTTGTGCTTCAGGCCAGGGTTTTAACCTGCTGTGCCACAGCACCAGCCCCGCTCCTGTGGACTTTTATGATGCCAGGCCTGCTTTTTCTTACTTAGTGAAAAAACAGAAAAGCACCATTATACTCTGAATCTGTATAAAAACTTTTTGAATTATTTATTCATTTAAGAATCAGATACTGGTTCAGTCCTCAAATGCCTGCAGCAGCCGGGGCTGAGCAAAGCTGAACCCGGAAGCTGTGAACTCAGTTCAGTTGTCATCTCCTGGTGCCAGGAGCCTAAGTACTTGAGCATCATCTGCTGCCTCCCAGGGTGTGCATGAGCAGGAAGCTGGAAATGGGACTCAGACCAGGGATTCTGATAACGGATGCAGGCATCCCAAGCAGCATCTTTACCACTATGCCAAACACCTGTCTGTAGATGATATTTTATGTTCTCTTGCGAATGTCTTGTGAAACACTTAGAACAGGCATTTTTTTTTTTACCTAGAAAACAAGATTTGATAATTAACAAAAGCATACAAATAGATTCGAATCATAGATACTTTAAAATGTGTTTCACAAAGTGAGTACTTCTGAGTAGGAAAAGTGAACTAGTTCTTCGATAGAGGGGGAATAACAAAGACTTGGAAAAAAAACACACTGGAAAGGCTGGATTCACGTCAGCTTTCTTTTGCCATCTGGGAATGCAGTGAGAAAAGACAGCTGACATTAGTGGGACCACAGATAGTGCACTGAGCACTGAGCAAGCTGTGACTGATGCATGTACTCATGCATCCTGCTGCCATCAGAGAGTGAGCAGCAAAATCAGGCTGCACTCATTTGATGCACAGGTTTCGTTTGTTGCATTGTAAAGCGTAGCAGAAAGGGCTGCCAATTTGGCCGAAGAGAATGACAATTTAAGAGAAACTGTAGATGAGAAAATAAGAATCCGGGAGCCAGTGTTGTGGTGCAGAGGGTTAAATGCCACCTGGGACCTACATCCCCTGTCTGTGTACCTAGGATGGAGTCCCACCTGTTTCCACTGCAGCTCCCCGCGAATGCGCCGAGGAGGCATCGGCTGATGACTCACATAACTTAGGTTCCTGCCCCCAACATGGGAGACCCAGATGGAGATCCTGGCTCCTGGTTTCAGCTTGGCCCAGTCCTAGCTACTGTGGGCCTTTGAGAAGTGACTCAGTAGATGGAAGGTACCTCTATGAATGCTAGGAGTCTTCATAAAGCTCATTGTGTATTATTGCATAAAATGTATCTTATGCAAAATTATACATGGACTTCAAAAAAGATTTAGTGCCAAAATTAACCTTTTAATTCTATTTTTCCACCAACTTTTGGAGGTCTTTATTTTAAGCATGATTTAATCAAATAAGAGTCCATTTGGGGCCAGAGTCAGATTTAAGAAGCAAAGATACATTTTTCAAAGATCTTGAACAGTTCACATATGAAATTGTGCAGATGTTATAGGAGGCCAGGGATATCCAGGGAGGACTAGAATTTGAATAGACAGGGAGTGGGAGAGATCACGTATTTAGACTTGACTATCTCTCAGTAGTTGTGTGACTTTGTGCAAATCGTTTACTTCTTCATCCCACAAATTATAGTCCTTTCATCATAGAAGTAAAGATCTTCCTAGGCGCTAATGTTTATCACACAAATGCATGTTACAGTGCCTGCAGCAAAGAGTTAAGTGTGTTGAGCCCCACTGCTGTTACTGCTGCTCTGTTTGTTGATAATGATGCATTCTAAATGATCAGTTGTATTATTCGATTACAGATTTTCCTTTTTTTTTTTTTTTTTTAAGATTATCTTCTTTTTAGTCTTTGATTTTTTTCCAGATGATAAATTTGGGAATTCTTTTTTTTTTTTTTTAAGATTTATTTATATATTTGAGAGGCAGAGTTACAGAGAGGCAGAGAGAGAGAGAGGGGTCTTCTATCTGCTGGTTCACTCCCCAGATGGTTGCAATGGCCAGAGCTGCGCCAATCCAGAGCCAGGAGCTTCTTCCAGGTCTCCCATGCGGGTGCAGGGGCTCGAGGACTCGGCCCATCTTCTACTGCTATCCCAGGACATAGCAGAGAGCTGGATCAGTGGTGGAACAACCAGGACTCGAACCGGCACCGATATGGGATGCTGGCACCTCAAGCGGTGGCTTTACCTGCTATGCCACAACGTCAGCCCCTGATTACAGGTTTCTAAAAGCAAGTTCAAATACAGCTGTGTCACAAATCATTGTTATTGATGATGTGGTCAATCGGAATTTTTTTATTGTAAAGTTGTAAAATTAGTCATAAGACAATTTTTGGTTGACCTGAAAATGTGGTTTCCAGTTTTCATGCTAACTCATTTTAATTCTGATATTTTAAATCCCCTAGCACACCCAATTTGGAAAAACAACCAAATGAAAATGGAGTCTCTGTTCAAAATGAAAATTTTGAAGAAATTATAAATTTACCCATTGGATCTAAACCATCCAGATTAGATGTCACCAACAGTGAGAACCCAGAAATCCCTTTGAATCCAATACTGGCCTTTGATGATGAAGCGACACTTGGGCCCCTGCCTCAAGTAGATGGTGTTCAAACACAACAGCCCGCAGGTGAGCTTGCCTCCTACTCCCTTCTGTCATCATCAGACATGTGTGGCACCCAAGAAGGAATGACACACCCTCTGCAATGTGACTGTCGTCACATTTTTCTATTTCAAGGGACCAAGTCAGCCACAACAGGGAGAAGATTGTCCATGGGTCATAAGTGTTGAATTTTGGTTTGGATCGGCCAATTTCCAGAGCCTCTCCTATTTCTGCAGTAGCCTGTGGGCATCCACTGGTCCCTGCTCAGAGCAGCACTCATTGCCCAAAGAGCACTCCCCATGAGAATGTGCCTCGCGTTTAGACAAGACTGCTCCCCACGGCCTACAGAGCCACAGGCCTCCCCCGGGAGAACAGGGCTGGGATTTTCCCATCCCCCTCTGGTCTTCAGGTTTGAAGCCTGCCCTCTTGTTCTCTCACCTCTGGGTTTAACAGCCTTGGACCTATGAGGGTACTTCAACATGTTCATGGAAAATGGAATGAAAAGTTAAACTTGGCCGGCGCCGCGGCTCACTAGGCTAATCCTCCGCCTTGCGGCACCGGCACACCGGGTTCTAGTCCCGGTCGGGGCACCGGATTCTGTCCCGGTTGCCCCTCTTCCAGGCCAGCTCTCTGCTGTGGCCAGGGAGTGCATTGGAGGATGGCCCAGGTGCTTGGGCCCTGCACCCCATAGGAGACCAGGATAAGTACCTGGCTCCTGCCTTCGGATCAGCGCGGTGCGCCGGCCGCAGCACGGTGGCCATTGGAGGGTGAACCAACAGCAAAGGAAGACCTTTCTCTCTGTCTCTCTCTCTCTCTTTCTCTCCACTCTGCCTGTCAAAAAAAAATAAATAAAATAAAATAAGAAGTTAAGCTTATCTTACTACCAAAAAAAAAAGCCTTTGAAATCTATGTATATTTTTTCATAGGACACATTTTCCATAAACTTTTTGAAGGTCTCTTGTGCTTGCTGTTGAAACTGTCCGTGACTTGTGCACACTGTCTCTGGGGACTCACACTTGACCTGAAGTCTTTGTGCAGAAAGGACAATAACTTTACAGAAGCAGGACTAACAGTGCAGTGCCATCGTATAGAGACTGAATGGGATGATCCCAGCTTCCGGTCTTCTCAAACCTCTCAAGTTTGTTGAATTCTCTTCACAGCACATCACGTTCATGTATTGACCAGCATGTGTATATTACAAACAGAACTGGCCAGATTCTAAAAGGGGTCGCTATAGAGTTATTTCTGGTCAAATCATTTTGCCTTTGGGGTTGCACCTGTGACCCTGTACCAATAAGCCCTCAATGCGGGGAACAGGCCCGGGTTGGCCCGCCTGTCCGGATGAGGCTGGTCTTCTTTTCTGCTCCCATGTCCTGACCTTGGTAGCGGAACTTCACTTCAGTGACCTGTGCTTCTCTAGGCTGTGAGAGGAGGTTGTAGAGTTGCTCCCTGGTCTGACTTCCTGGTGCCTAAGCCTTTGGGAACAGTCTGGTCACTGTTCCGTTGGTAGACACACACTTGCCGCAGCTTCCTGCTTTGTCTCGTCACAGATTCACAGGGAGGGGAACAACTCTGAGGCGACTTTTACTTTGCTCTACTTGCCAGACCTTCAGTCACCTTCTGAGTGATCTGTCACTCCATTCTTACGGTTCCACCTGCCATGCCCTGTCTGAGAAATAGAGCCCAATATCTGTGGTCTTGACTGGAGTAAGCGTTCTTTGTGGGTCATAACCATTTGTCAGTATTTCACCTCCAACTAAGTATCAGGCACTGAGAATATGAGATGAATGGATGTTTAAATCCCTAACCTGCCCAAAAGTACAATTGAAATATGCAGTTTCAAATATAAGGAACATAGCCCAAGTTGAAGTAAAAATATGTCTTTCAAATCGGTAGTAGAATTCGCCTAAATGTATAACTGAATCCCAACACAACTGCCTGTTTTATTTTTTTTCTATAAGACAATGTATACAACAGCAGTGGCAAAATTTTAGACATATAAGGTACTACTATAATATTCTTTAAGATTTTAGGTAGATGTCATACTAATCTATTCTTTTTTTTCTGTCTCTTCATATAGAAGTTATATGAGCATTTCTTCTGAAGAACCAAAGCAGAAATTTCGTAAGAATTTCTACAATTAATGGAATTCCTTTCATGCTATAAAGGAGCATCCTGCCCCTCCCCCTCCAGTTTTCTAAGGATTTCTTGATCACCCTTTTGAAAAGACTTTATTAAAACCAGCTGAAGACAACAGACTGGATAGCTTTTCTAATAACTTTCGCCAATAGAAAGAAACGCTCCTTACTCTTCAGTACTTTAAAACAGCTTTTTCCAGTGTGCTCCTTCTTAGCAAATCAATATTTTTCTGCATCCTTTAAGAAAAGGACAAGAACATTTCACTCTAAAGAAATGGGCTGACCAGGCATGACTTTTCCCTTAGATATTTTGGTCTTAAAGGCTTAACATGTAAAATTGGCACCGAAAAAAAAAATTTACCTTTAACCATATAATACTTGAAAAATAAGTACCTCTTTGCTCTACAAGTAGAGTGACTGGGGGCCATGTTTAAATTCAACCTGTTTGTTTAAATATGATTGCGAGGAGCTCTATTTGTCGAGGCAAATCTTAGGCAGATTACCAGGTCCTGGTAAGCGCAGCTTTGCCATGGAAGCTCTGCGAACGCAGCTGTCACGTTCCTCTTGCACCTCCTTTTACGAAAGCATACTAACAAGTTTTAAAATGTGAAAAAATACAACATTATTTTTTCAGAGCAAGAAAATAATTTAATGTCCTCTTAAATAATGTATTTATAAAGGTTTTCCAGATAAACAGATCAAATAAATTAGAACACCGTGACCATACTGCAGATCTGATTTATTAGATGCGTCCCTTCCAGCGCTCCCACCAGAGAATGTTACTGACGATTCAGGGTTCTTTGTGAAGTCTGTATGTTGCTGCTGTCCCTGGGGACGATGGGACTTACCTTTGCCTTACCTGATCGCAAATTATGTCGGGGTGGGGGAGGGGGATAAAGATTTACTGTTTCTTTAAATAAAAAAAAATTGGTTTTGCTCGTTTCAGAGCAATGAGACAGTGACGGACACAGAGTGTCCTCGCTGGGCGGGCGTCCGTCAGCTTCCCTCTTAGCACCCGTGTCCTTCACCTCTGCCGCTGAGCCCAGCCGTACAAACTTGCACTTTCACTCGCTGACATCAATTCCATTTTATTTTTCCCATTTTAAAGATTGCTAATGATGGAATGTAGGAGGAGAGGGAACGCGTGTTTTTATGTGGAGTGTTAAAGATAAATTTGTACCACTATAAGGTGTTTTTATCAAACAAGGGGTTGGTTACTGCATTCAATGATACTTCATCTATTGGACTATTTCTTTTCAATCCAAGCATATGGTCTTAGCTTGTAATTTGCTAAAACATTCATTTGAGTTTTTTCCTTATTCTCAGTTGTCCATGTACACAGTCATTATATTAAAAAACAAAAATCTGTTCAACAGAGTTGTTTTATTTCTTTAAATCAACCTAACATAAAAAAACAAATAAAATGTTGGACATAGTTTGTTTTTAGATTTCTCCTATATTATAACCTTACTCAGGTTGATTGTTGAGTTTTCAGGTAGCCATTCATCAAACTCATTGACATTTTCCCAGCTTCCTGATGGGTAGGCATCTACAATAGGTTTACTTAAAACTTAGAGCAAGAGTTCTGTTTTGACTCGGTTTTTGTTGTTCTCATTTTTCTCTTACAGTTACTAACAAACTACAAGACTTCTAAGTAATCAAGTTTCGATTAGAAGTGGTAAAATTCTTGGCTGGCATCGCGGCTCCCTAGGCTCCCCCCAGGGCGCCGGCACCCCAGGTTCTAGTCCTGGTCAGGGCACTGGATTCTGTCCTGGTTGCTCCTCTTCCAGTCCAGCTCTCTGCTGTGGCCCGGGAGGGCAGTGGAGGATGGCCCAGGTCCTTGGGCCCCTGCACCCACATGGAAGACCAGGAGAAGCACCAGGCTCCTGGCTTCAGATCAGCGCAGTGCACCAGCAGCAGCGTCCATTGGGGGGTGAACCAACGGTGAAAGGAAGACCTTTCTCTCTCTCTCACTGTCCACTCTGCCTGTCAAAAAAAAAAGCGGTAAAATTCTTAACCACGTTGTGAAGGGCAGCACTGCCGGAGACTGACCTGGACCTTTGCAAATGGCTAGGTTGCTTTCTGCCCAGCATTTGAATATCTGTGTTCACCTGCTGGCCCTAGAGGACGTCCTCAGCAGGGCTCTACATTAAGGGGAAATGCTCAGGGGTCAGAAATGACCTCCACCATGGACTAAGGGTAAACGGGCTCTTCTTCCCTCTCTACCCCGTGGTGGGCTGTCTAGGACAGTCATTCACCAACCAGAGGTTCAGTTGGTAGGTAGCCTCCAGCTATTACAGGAGGGGAACACCATGGTCTTCCTCCTGCAGAACCTCGCTGCCTGGTGCTCTGTTACAACCAAAGCACATCTGAAACAGTTCTCTCAGCGTTAGCAGGCAGGGCCTCTGGAGAGCTTGCGGGAGTTCCTTCCCTGTGGGAAGTCGTCCACAAACCCCGTGAGACAGCGGAGCAGAAGCAGCGGTGTTAACTCTGAAAGCAGAATTAGGTCACCTGGCCAGGTTGGCCCAGAGTCATGTGTGTGGGCTTTGGAGGGTGACAGGAGCAAGGAGAGCCCTGGACCTGAGGTACTAATCAAAAGTCAGGAGCCTGCAAGATCTGCCAGATCCCTGCCCCCTCAATTCTCGCACTTTGCCTCCAGAAGTCTTCCTAGTTAACCACTTACCTCTTTAGTTGCAATCGGCAGTGAAAAATCACTCACATCCCTGATGCTGATGCTGATTAATGCTCGAGTATAGATTTAGATGAGTGTGAAAACGTCGGCCTGGGCACCTGATTTCAGGTGCTTCAAATGCTTGCTGTCTGCCCCCAAAGCCAAATAAAAGTTAAATTCCACCTGCTCACATGCGTTACACAGTTTATGCTTAAGCATATTGAAGCAAATTATAGCACATTAAAGTGGATTCAACTCTCCAATAAATTCTCCCAGCTTTTACATTCTTCCATTTGTTAAAAAAATCCATAGGCATTGATTACTGATTTTTGAATCAACACAGGTTACGTCCGGTGTAGCTTTTTGGCCTAGCAACTAAGATACTAGATAAGGTGACTGTATCCTGTATCAGAGTACCTGGGTTCAGTACTCAGTCTGGCTCCCAATTCCAGCTGCCTGCCTGCCAGTGTGCACCCTGGGAGGCAGCAAGTAAAGACTCAAGATGTTGGATCTCTTCCACCCACATGGGAGACCTAGAGTGAGCTCTCAGCTCCTGGCTCCAGCCCCAGCCATTGTGACATTTGGGGAGTGAATCAGTAGATGAGAAGTCTGGCTGACTGTCTGTCTCTCCCCCGCTCCTCTCCTCTCTCCTCTCCCTTCCTATCCTCCTACCATGTGGGTGGCAGAGACCTAAGTACTTGGGCCATCATCTGCTGCTTCCCCAGGCACATTAGCAGGAAGCTGTAGCAGAAGCAGAGTAGCCAGAACGTGAACCGGCACTCTGATATAGGATGCCAGCATCAAAAGCCGTTGATTTAATCTGCTGTGCCACACCACCACCCGCCCAAAAAGAATTCTAATTCCTTTGCATTCATATGTGTGTGTGTGTGTGTTTGTATATGTATGCATGTATATATATAGGCATTTCTTGATATCCTTCAACACTGAGAGTTCTCTTGTCGACTGTAAAGCTGGGATGCTCACACTTCCCCAGAAGTGGCTGTCGCCCCTGACCCTCCGTCAGCAGGTGCCATAGGAAGCCGGAGTAGAGCAAGGTTTCCGCAGCAGCTGCTGGGAGGGGAGTTAAGCAAATCACATTCTCACCGCATCTACCAATTCTCTCTTCTCTCCAAGTGGAGTTGTCTCCTCAAGAGAAAATGTCAGAAGATGCGGATGAGGAAGGCAGGAGTTCGAGACCCTTGGGGGACGGGGGCTGAGGAAGGGCACCCTTGGTGTGTTCCACTGTGAGTTCTGGAGCCCTCGTTCCCTCTCGATGCTTGACAGGGATGACCCCCACTCTGAGCTGCGCCTGCCCTATGCTGTCACTCCTGTTGCCAGTGGCATGACCTCTGGCTGGTGCAGTGCCTGTGTCCTAGACTGGGGTTTTGGGGATTTCATTAGGGGAAGAGTTAGAAAAGCTAAGTTGGGACCAGCATCAAAGATTTTGCCAGGTGGGGGCCAGCGTGTGGCACAGCAGGTAAAGCCTCCACCTGTGATATCGGTATCCTTTATGGGCACATGTTCATGTCCCACCTGCTGCACTGTGGCCTGGCTCCCTGCTAATGTGCCTGAGGAAGCAGCAGCAGATGACCCAAGTGCTTGCACATGGGAGACCTGGATAGGCTCCTGGCTCCTGGCTCCTGGCTCCTGGCTCCTGGCTTCAGCCTGGCCCAGCCCCTGCCGTTGCAATCATTTGGGGAATGAACCAGTGGATGGAAGATTCCTTCCCCCACCCTTTCTCTGCATATGTGTGTCTGTGTGTGTTTGTGTGTGTGTCCCTCTTAACTCTTTCAAAGTTAATAAATTTTTTTAAAATTGATTTAAAAATGTTTTGCCAGGATAGAAACTGTTACAGTTAGTCTCAAAGCCACTCTGAACAGCAGGCCATTCATCCTAGGTTGACGTTGAAGGCCAGCGCTGTGCAAGTGGGTGGCCAGCCAGAGTGCCAGGGAGTTGGCCCCTGGGTCACAGCCTTCAGGCAGTGAACACAGTGTCAGTGCGGCTGTCCTCCTTCCTGCCTCGGTGCGCTGACTCTGACAGTGTAACCTGCACCCTTTCCAGAGGTTCCTCCCTGGGTTAAGCTCCTGTCCCTACCCTTGGTAGCTGCCTTTCCTTCCCTGTCCCACTCCCTTCCTGGAGTTCCCTTCACCTTCCACGTAAACAACTTGTATTCAAATCCTCATCACAGGGAAGCCGGAACTAAGATCTGTTAGCATAATCTTATATAATAAGTAGCTCTTTGATTCCTTAAAAGAACTTGGAGTGAGTGTGCAGCCTAGCAGTTAAGACAGGGGTTCAGAAATCATTGTCTAGATTTGATTTCCAGCTCCAGCTCCCACTCCCAACTTCAGCTTCCTGCGATGCAGACCCTGGGAGGCAGCAGGTGACAGCTCAAATAACTGGACTCCTGCCACCCATGTGGGAGACCTGGATTGAGTTCCCTGGTCCCCGCTGTGCCCCGCCCAACCCTGGATAGTACCAGGCATTTGGGGCGTGAACCAGCCAGTGGGAGCTTTCTCTGCCTCTCAATAAAGAACAATGTTAAGTAGCTCAGGATTTTTAGAAACCTCAATGAAATTTAACTTGAAGAACCTCTGGTGTTCTTAGCTCATTTTGCCACGGATGTGCACCAGACAGGAATGTTCTCAGAGGGTTTCAGCCCTTACTGGCTGCAAATGAGCCACAGTCAATGTGCTTTCACCTTGCGTGGCAGTGGGTCTGCCACCTTCCCACCCTGTATGTGCCAGCCAGGAGGGCCCAGCCGTGTTCTCACTTTCATACCTATGTCTGAGAGCCTTCTCAGTAAGATCTGCATTCTTTAAAAAAAAAAAAAAAAAAAAAAACCTATTCCTCATCACGGTCCTTCGGTGTCTGCGGGTGTAACTGCTGCTGGACTCAGCGCTGTCCCTGTTTTGCTGCTGCCAATTTCTGAAAAGAGGGGGAGAGTTGAGTTTGTAGCATTTTCTGAAAGGATTTTCTTAACAAATCTAGTAGGCAATGTTCTAACTTGCTAAACTCAGAACTATCCAAATATCTTTTAAAATAAATTGTTATCAGGGGCCGGCACTATGGCACAGCGGGTTAAAGCCCCAGCCTGCAGTGCTGGCATCCTGTATGGGCAGTGGTTTGAATCCCGGCTGCTCCACTTATGATCCAGCTCTCTGCTATGGTCTGGGGAAGCAGCAGAAGATGACCCAAGTCCTTGGGCCCCTATACCCACGTGGGAGACCTGGAGGAAGCTCCTGGCTCTTGGCTTTGGATTGACATAGCTCCAGTTGTTGCTGCCAGCTGGGGAGTGAACCAGTAGATGGAAGACCTCTCCCTTTCTCTCCCTCTCTCCCTCTACCTCTCTTTTTAATTCTGTATTTCAAATAAATAAAATAAAACTTTAAAAAATAAATAAATAGGGGATGGAGCTGTGGCACAGTATGTTAATCCTCTGCCTGTGGCGCTAGCATCCCCTGTGGGCGCCGGTTCGAGTTCCAGCTGCTCCTCTTCCCATCCAGCTCTCTGCTATGGCCTGGGAAAACAGAAGATGGCCCAAGTCCTTGGGCCCCTGCACCCGCATGGGAGACCCAAAAGAAGCTCCCGGCTCCTGGCTTCAGATCGATGCAGCTCCGGCCATTGCAGCTAATTGGGGAGTGAACCAGTGGATGGAAGACCTTTTTCTCTGTCTCTGTCTCTACCTCTTTCTGTCTGTAA